CTAAGGGCCAATGGCCACAACTCAAATCCATCATAGGAACCCCTAGGCCATATGAGGAGGGCCAGGAGGAGGGAGCCGAAGCCCCGGGCGCATAGGGTATAAGGGAAACCACCCCGAAGGCAGCGACCGAGAAGCGAGGAGATGAGGTGTGTGGCAGGCGTGCCAACGATAGTGTGTCCTCTGGGACAACCGACGATTGAGGCAGTAAGGTGCCAGCTTGAGAGGAGGTGCTAGTAGGATACCAGCCGATCCGACCATGGAGAGGAGCCCTAAGCAAAGCAAGTGTTTTACCGCGTCTCACATGTAGTCCCTTGTTCTGGGAGAGATAGAGTCACTGTAGTGGAAGGGATCCCACCACCTGCCAGCCAAAGAGGCTCCAAAGAGTAGAGGAGGAGTAGACCCAATTCCGTGAACGACAACTATCGGTAACAGCGTTCGTGTCCAACTAGGCAGCCTTTTACGGGGGTAAGAGAATGGAGAGATCGACCATACATCAGCAAAAATTTACTCTTGCGTCCTGTGCGTCCTGTACGTCTGACGCACAGGACGCACAGGACGCAAACCGTTAATCAGGACGTCAGCTGAATCCATTCTTACGTCCTGACGTTCGCATCCGCACCCTCCTGCATCCTGACACTCACTGGATGCGTGGCACTCCAACCCCCCTGCGTTGTGACCCTTGCTAGCTCAGTTCCGGGCGTCCTGACAATCCATGCCCTTTCCCCCTTAGCGTCCCGAGGCCCCTGCTACTCCGGCATGGCGTCCTGACGCCCTTACTACTCCCGGCCGGTGTCCGGACACCTCTGGACCTCCTGCCCGGCGTCTCGGCCATCCGGCCACGCCTGCTTTGCGTCTGGAGAATCTCTGCTGCTTCTGCCTCTCACCGTGACGCCCATCAACCCTCCCCCCACGTTCCAATCCTGTCCACGTAAAGCTAGTTCTGTTTGGATGACTTAATCTATATCGCTTGCCTCCCACCGCATGTCTCGTCCGCTCTCCTCCTCCTAAGTTCCTGTCCCTGCTCCTGTATCTCATGACTTCGAAGAACTACTCCCGTGTGCCCCGAGTACTATATTACTCACCTCTTCCATCCTGATTTCACACTTTCAATTGACGTCGTCGGGATTTTCTCGCCGTAATTGGAACGTACTCCATATGTTCTGGGACTTTCGGTAACCACATCCGATTACAATTTGGTCTCGATATGTGCTGCATATACTCTATTTACTATCGTACGGCATCACATTGGCCGGCCATTTTAATCTAGCGAGTACACTAGGCGCTATTGAAGCTTGCGATCCCACCGGCACCGCCGGTACCCATATGTGCCACGTTGAGCCCACTCTCGATCCCGGTCCCACCGACCAGTTGCCTCCTCTCTCTCAATCAAAATTTCCTTCCTGCTGTCCTTCTATAGCCGTCACCTACCCCGACTGTGAATCATCCAGACTAAGCGAGACGCGCGATGAAATACATGGACTGCCCACGCTCCCCGACGTCGGACGTCCCGTGTGTTCCGGTGTATTGTCTAGACTATCCTGTTCAAAATCATGAAAGCCAAGAGACCGTCCAATGGCCGTCTGGCTAAAATCGGAAGCAACATCGGGATGGGGCGACTGTTCCCGCCTGCTCTGGCGCCCCAAATAGGCCTCTAGAGGGTAGTTGGTCATTGTCTGTCTACCCCGCGAAGATTGGCTTGCAGCCTAGTTGGATTTCCTGCGCTCGAGCTCCGCGCTTACAGCGTCAACGTCATCATCATACCCTTCTACTCGATCATTCTGAATCCCGTATTGTTGCTGGAGCTTTTCAGTGATGATTTGGCGCATGTTTTGGACCACCAGCTCCTGGATCTGCGCGGGAAATCTCTGCCATGTTTGCCTCTAGTGTGCCAAGAGGTCTTAAGTGGGTGACGGGTTAGCCAGACTCCTTTACTATGGCCCACTAGAATGTTCTGAGATTCTTACCCATAACAATATCAGGCTTGAAGTCCTTCGGCTCTTCGTACTTACCCATTTGCCACGCCCGGAGAGTGTGGCATAGTATAGCGCAAGTCAGGCAGATCATAGTTCCG